GTACAGTAATGGGAAATCCAGAGTTTTGCCTGTTTAGCGTTAGCCGTTAGCTTCACCAGCCGATCACACGGTCATGTGGTTTTTGCGCACTCCAGCTGTTCTATAGGACCTCCTTGCTACAAACTGATCCACCAGCATCCCAAAGTATTTAAAAATATCACTTCCCTCTTTGTTAAGCGTCACAAAAACTGCAGCCCAGCACTAAAAAAATAACTGTCAGACCTGTTAATGTAACAACTGGCATTTTGGCGTCCTCAARGACTGTCCTAATTTGTACTGGAACATTTGAACACTTTCCCTTTTCGACTTAAAGTGCATCAMCAGGGCTGGAGAGCGTGACTTATTTGTTTATAACATAAACTTGTGACGAGCACTAGCAGTTTGTCACYGAGAGCAGTAATATCTGTTCCCAAGAGCAAAGTAACAACATAATCTGCAACACTTAAGGCTATGAAGATGATAAATAACGATGTTGTTTCTTTGTTGGAACATAAATCAGTGACCACTCAATATGAGCAGCTAAAAGAAAGAAACAAGCTGAAAGGATGGATGAGAAGGTCTGGTGATTGTTACATATTGTTCATGACTTTACTGTGTGAGTGTTACTCACCAACTCATACATGAAATCTGGGTCAGAGCTGGTGGACAGCAGCTCGGTGCTGGTCAGGGCCTGGTCAGCAAACGAGTAATTTTGAAAGGCRTCCCCAAAGGGAGGCTCCATCCCACTGACGCTGGGCTGCAGCAAAACAGAAATAGAAAAACCCAGAACTGGAGTGAGCGAGACGTAACACAAATCACCAGCAACAAAGTCAAACAAACACAAAGGACTTCATGCCTTCGGTTTTACTCACATTAACAGAGTTYGGCTTATAAAAACTACTTTCTATGGTCCAGAATGCGATTTAGCTTTATTTCCTCCAGACATTTTAAGACAAATAAATCAGTCAAACAGAAACTGCAACCATCAGATCTGAATCACCGCTGCACCGGATGTTAGCACCACTGCTGAGTGATAAACAGCAGCTCGTTTTCATTTTAATTATCTAAAGTTGTCTGTTGTGAACTATGTGGAGATTCTCAGTGGAGTGATTTGTTTAATTCTGCATCTAAAACCAAAGAAATGTTTGATTTTCATTCAACATATTTGGGAGGAACAGCACAGAAATAACTGTCTGAAAAACAGGAAACCCAACACTCTGTTCAGGATGACAGAGATATATATGGTTTATGGTCATGTAGAGAAGTGATGGCACCTAAAAATATGCCTCAATATGAAGATGAACCGTTACGATGTCTAATACATGGTTGTGTTGGGAGTTAAACATGAAATCTGATCGTTCTGCCTTCTACAATCTGATAAAACATTCAGCCGGAAATTCTCCTAATAGTTTATTTTCRGTCAAAGTTGAAGATAATTCTRAKTAACGTTTGAYGGAAAATTCTTTGTAAGTACTTTCTACTACAAGGAAAAAGCTTTGTGGGAGGACAATCAATAAAAAAACCATATTTCAAACAGAATTAAATAAAAAGATGTAACATTACATGTTAGTTATGTAATAAAAGAAAACAAGGCAACATTTAAAAAGTTTTATCTGAATAAATAAATGTAAAGAAAAAGCTATCAAATTTGTGTAAAAACTTACAAAATCTAATCAAAACAGTCATAAAAAATTTGTGTTTTTGATTAAAACAAAAGTCACACAGAAGAATAATGTGTTTCCATGTTAACTGCATTAGTTAAAGCTCTAATATTGCTTTGATCAATAGTGACTGAGAAGAAAAACATTCGATGCATCTCTGGTTCTATGAGCATGTCAACAACTATTGAACGTACTGCAATTATTTAGGAGAGAGAGAGCAGATGTATGAGGACAGAGAGTGCGAGAGCAATAAAAAGGAGTCTTTACACAAACTGGCAGAGCTTTGAAAAAGAAATATCACCACCAGGCAGTGGGCGAGTTGTGTTATAATCAGGGTTGCACATAAAATTTTTGGTCTGGTTCTCAGGGAAGAACCTAGGGTTATCATTTGTTTTCTTTCACTCATTTAACACATTTATCTAGAGGGGCATCAGGGCATCTAACATCCCCCTGTTCTGTTTTATGACTCCTATCAGCTGCAACGTCTCAGGACATCATGCCAAATCAGTCCAACAAGTTTTTTGTTTAATCTTTTTTACTCTACATAAATTTTGTAAACTACTTAAGTGGCCAAGGGGCTGGAAGTATGTCATATAAACATCACAAACTGAACATTTCATGGTTAAATGTATTTTAGACTACACATGTCCCTCAGATGGACAACTCCTGTTTGGTCTGGATCTTCAGCTTTGGTTAAACCAGATTTCCACACTCTCCAGTCCAAGCAGCAAATATCTGTCTTTCACACAGAGCAAAATAACTTAAAACATACAAATGTTTTATTTGTTAGACTGATTCCTTTTTAAAAGACTATTTTATTCAAAAAGATTATATTATTTAGATGGTTTCAGCTAATGTAATTAATTATTCTTCATATTACATTTATCCCAGAAAAGCTGTGTCACAGTATGGTTCTAAATATAAACAACTTTAGCACATCAAGAACCTTGTTTAGTGTTTTTTTTTTTTTATAAAATTGTGAATGAAATTTGTGGATCTTTATGATAAATTCAAATAACATTTAAAACTCATTCACCTAAAGCAGTGGTTCCCAACCCTGGTCCTCAAGGACTCCTTTCCTGCATGTTTAGATGCTTCCCTGATTTGACCCACCTGGTTTGAATGAATGAGTGATTAACAATCTTATGAAGACCTGCTGAATAGCAGGGAAACAAGTAAAACATGCTGGATAGGGGTACTGAGGACCAGGGTTGGGAACCACTGACCTAGTGAACATGGCATGTTGTTTTTATTTTTTTTAAATCTATATAATTTTTTTGACGGGGGTGTTGTTAAACAGAGAATCATCTTTGCTTTAATATGAGGCAAACAAATGTTCTGTTAGAGTTAATGTGGTTTAATTAGAAGAACTCAAACAGTGACGCTCACAGAAAGCCTCTGCCTGCGYGATGCCGACACAGCAGTCTCTCAGGAGGAGAGTTTAGTCACTCACACAAAGTTGGACAGATCTGTTTGATAATGACTCTCRGTAGCKMARGAGCAMAGTGCAGGAGGAGRTGTCAGGACTGACCGCTGCAGCAGCTCGAGYYGAGCCGCTGCTTCAACCTGTYTCTGCTGAAAACTACTCTGACTGAAAGTCCCGCCCTGCTCTGCTCTGATTGGATAAAACGGCTCTGGACTTCGTCTGATTTGTTGACGGCAGTGTCCGTTTAATCCTTATATCAGGGTCCCGCTGTCCTTGGAGGCTTGGTGAGCACCGAACAACGATCCAGTCACACCAGTGCGGCTGGTTATTTATTTATTTTTTTTAAAGAAATCTGGTCGCACTCTAGAGCCTTGCTAGCTGTTGTTTTGACAGACAATCTCAGGTACAATCTTAGGTACGCAAATGAGCTTTATGACGTTCCATCTGCTGCACACCGCTTATGTGCCACCCTGGTTATAATGAACAAATCTAATTCAGTTGTAGCCTGTTACATTTTACAGCTGTGCTCCACAAGGGTGTTATGTTTGAGCAAAGCAGTGTAAATAAAGTCCATGTTTATACAGATTTTACTCCTTATTAGTAGAACTGTTTTAGATGCATAGCATTGCAAACATGTAAGATTCTGAATGGATTTTCAACCACTAAAAATCTGTTTTCTTAATAAGAGTCAGCAGTTTATCCTAGTAGAGGAGCTGTGACTTCCTGTAGTTTCATCTTTTTTGTTGCAGAATTGTAAAGAACTTGTCTGTAAACAATAGTGTAAGTTTTCAGATCATGACTGTCTTTAGTGATGGATTTGGAATGTTTAATGAACACAATGCTAATCACATTAGCTTTTCTATGGTGTTTTCAATGTTAAGTGAGCATCAATGCTAATTGATGGTCAGCAGCTTATGACTAATAAGTTAACAAACACCRTGTATTTGGCATGAAAATAAATGAAACTGTTTATTTAGGTAAATAAGCCAAGTTTTAAATTCCAAGAAAATCAAAATGTACCTAAACCAAGAGCATTTCCATTTTCTGCAAAAATGCAGTGTAAATACTTGATGCTGAAACATTTTTGCTCAAAAACAAAAGATGTACAAAAAGTTTGCACTTTGTTGTAAATTACTCAAAAAAGTTGAAAATATCAGAAAAGTAATTGAAAAAGCTGCATCTAGTACAAAGAAGCAGAAAGAGCGTGTTTGCTGAATTAAGCAGCTGCAATACGTAGCTGGTGAATTTAGCTGGATAAAGACCAACATTAGCTGAATGTAGCTAAAATGTGGATTAAATTGYATAAAACAGCTAAATGAAGAATAACAGCTTAAATTAGCAGAAATAAGCTGATAGAGAACCAAAAATATTAAATAAGCAGAATAGCTGAAAACACCAGAAAGATAGCTGAAAAAGCAGAAAAAGCTATGTAATATTAAAAGTAAAAATAGGCTATGGTTATCAGCTGCAAAATATCTATTATATGATTAATTGGTCTATAAACAGATGTTTTTACTAAAGTACTGAATATGAATAATATCTCTGAAAATCTGACAATTGAAAAAGACTCGACTGGGTTGTGTTCACTGTGATGTTTCTAGGGGGGCATGGCCGATTTATTGGCACCGATTTCCTTAATTCTGGGAGAGATCAGCAGATATAAGATTGGTGGAAAAGATAGGCTTCTCATCTACCTCTACAAAGGTCTGAAAATCAACCACTGTCCTCTTTTTTTTGTACATAGAATTTGTTTAGTTTTTTAATGAAATTAATAAATTATTTAAACAATTAAACAATAAACAATTTTACCTTTTACCTAATGTCCAGTTAAAGTAAGTTTGTATTGTTTCAAGGGTATTGTTCAGTGTTTTTTCAATAAAATAGGACTGAAACATTGAAGGTGTACTACTTGATAGTGTCAGTTATTTAAAAACAATCGTATCGGCCAAAATTGGATTTGGCAGGTCARACTTTTTAAAGATCGATGATCATGTTTCTGTTAATTCAGCACTGCAGAAAACAAATACTTTTCACACTCAGCAGTCTTTGTACTTCTTTAAAAGGATTCACTCACTTATTTATTCATTTTAGCCCATCTGAATCAAGTTTACTTGCTTACGCCACACTGCAGGGTCAGTCAATCATCTGTAAAAATGAATCACATCAGCGATTCTGTCTGTGTCTTCCTCCCAAAAATATTCTTTGTTTATAAAATTTGTGATAAAAATTGAGCAGTTTTGTATTTTTAGGGCTCAGGTATTTCAGAACTTGTTTTTGCAAAGGATTAGTAACATGTTTGCTCTTGTTTCAGCCATCTTGAGCAATTTAGTAGACAGTATTTACACACAATCAGTAATAAACTTATCTACCAGCTGACAGCACAGATCTGAAGGGTTTTTTTTTGCACATCTTACCTGAGGCATTGCCAGGCACAGCTTAGAGCTCCAGCAGCGGGAACCTCTGGGTCTCCTGTCCAGTCCCACTGGTGTGAGATTGTCAAATCAACACAATAAAACACTGTTGATGGAGACAATCACAAAGTCCTGGAGGTTTCAGCCTCCCAGGCTGGAGGGACCGGGAGAGGGACTAGTAACTTAGTCAAACCCGGTTTGGTGTGGTCTGTTGTAGCCTGGTGCGTTTCTGTCTGCTTCAGGTCTGTGGTAAAAACAGCGAGAGAAAACATCAACCGGTTATAAAAAAGTGAAAAAAGCAAAACAAAGACAAATTTTCAGGTACACAACTGCCAGTTTTATGTCTCACACCAAACTACAAGGTGTTAAATGTTGCTTTACAGGTATTCAAATAAAACAAAAATCTAATTTACCRTTGACAGCATCCTGGTAAAGAACGTTTTAAAATGGCACAAAGACAAGCAAACACAACCAAATCCATCTGATGAACAACGAAAAACTATCAGAATATATTTTTCCTGAAAAAGAAACTGAAAATAAATATATATTCAGTTGTACTAATTGGGTTGATGATTTGTTTTCACAGCCACAGAACTTAAACATCTTGTCGTCATTAAGTCAACCCTGAACTCTAACACCCAACGATTTCAGCAATGTGGAAAAACAACACAGATTCATAAAATTTGATATGAAAAACGAACCCACTGTAAAATCTGGAATATCTTGAAATGTGATTCCAACATGTCTTGATTTTGTCAAACATGTCAGTATTTTTTAAAGTGATGTTCACAATAAATTAAAGATCATATTTTGTCTGCTGCAGCCTCCTGTCTGTGTAAAGTGACCTGTTGAAGCTCAGCTCTCCACTCAGACAGCTATGGAGAAAAAAAACAGCCCAAACACAACAGACATTAAAATACAGCAGAGCGCTATCCAAACTACTTCTATGACTCAGGAGAAAAATGCTTTCACCATTGACTGAAACTGCAAACATCCCTTCAGCAAACTCAGCCCCAATCAAACAGCATCATCAAAAGATGTCAAGAAAACAGAAACGAGATTAAAATGTTTTATGAAAAATCTTAGGGCAACTAGAAGTCTTCTGTATAACAAAATGTTCTGGAGTCCCATATAAGGCCATCAAACTGACATTGAAGTCTCGAGTTAGCACAAAGTAGGTCATGCAACAGGACAGTAATATCACCTACAACAGAACTATTAAAAATAATAAAAATGAAAAACTGAACTCAAGTCTAGACCTCAGCCCAAAAAAAATCCATTGCAGAACTCAAAGAGAATCAGTATGTATATTAATAATTAGACACAAGGACGTAACGTGGAAACTGAAGCAAAAAAATACAAATAAAAATAAATCACAAGCAAGCATCTCCTGTAGATCCAATATAAAATTTATATAAATGATAATTTGCTTTGTAAAAATTAGTTATTTAATGCTTAAACCTAACAAGATTGCATGGCCAGAGCTTTCAGCCCCACATCTTGAGTGAGCAGACTCTGGTTCCAAAAGTACAACAAAGAAATGGTTGTAAATTCACCCAGCTTTAAAAAAAAAAGWRCCAAAGATGCTTCATTCTTTATTTTAGGTCAATAAATTGAACCTAAAAGAAGGTCTGTAATGCCCAAAATGAACAAGCACTTCAAAGACAAGGGGGTATCAACCTTTTCCACAACAGAGTGAAGGTCTTCTGAGGTCAGATGATGACATCAAGTTATCGGTGGTTCTACAAGCCTTAATGTATTGTTTGACACACTTTTCAGTAGTGCTGGGCGGTATACCGTTTTGTACCGAAAACTGGTTTTTATTTTTGTTATGATATGACTTCTGAATACCGGTGTAAATAGCCTGAACACGTGCGGAACGTTTCGTCGCGGCCGCCAGTGAACTGTTTCCCTGGGGACACGTTTCCTTGAAGCACCGCTAAGCACATTAGTATGCTAACATTTTTGTTGGAACAACTGGCGGCGGGTGGTGTGTTTCAGCCGCTTATATGGTCTGACGTAAAAAATAAACATCCCGTTTTCACCATCGCTGAATGTAGTAAACAACTCTTCAGTGATGTGCACAGTTAGATTTAACGCGCTACGTTATAATGGAGACGTTATTTCATGGAGACTTCAGCGTGCTTCTTATTGTGAAAAAAGCCCGGGGTGAAGTAGTTTTGTAGTGTAGCAAAGATGACTGGTGTGCAAGGTGAGTTGTCTTTTTAAGTTTTATTAACACGCAATGACAGACCAGATAATGATTTTTTCTCAACCCCTCACGATCGGACCTAAATGCATGATTACCGTCTACAACCAGGCGAGGAGGGAAACAGTGATACGGAGAGAGGTACAGTAAAAGAAAAAAGTCAATAAACAAAGTTTGTACATTTTATTATCAGCTGAACTGTGAGGAAAAAAAATACCGTCAAATACCGTGAAACCGGTGTAACTGTTGAAAATACCGTGATATATAATTTGGGTCATACCGCTTAGCTCTACTTTTTAGGATAACTATGCTCTTTTTCCCCAGTGAACAAAGACACAACAAAGGTAYGTGTTGTTTATCTGCTGCTCTCTTTACTCAATTTTATGACCTGATAAGAACCACGGTTGGTTGCTGTAATCATTTCCTGATCTGTAATTATAAGTGAAAAAAATATGTGCTTATTTTGTACWATGACTGTGCTTTTCATACAAATGTGTACCTCTTTGTACCTTTGGATGCCACGGAGACTAAACGCTTTTTACTGTTCCTAAGGATGACACGGTCCCTCAAAAATGGTTGGACTTCACTTTTGGAAATAACCCTCCTTTGAAAAAGCGATTGTTATATTTGTGCGAGGCCCTTTACCGATGACAGCTCTCTATACATTTATAGTATATATGTCAATGTCAATTTTATTTGTATAGCACTGACCAAGCGCTTTACAATTTACACCAATTATCAAACCATAAAATGAAGATTAAAACAATACAAAAATAAAAATAAAACACAGAGATATTCACATATCATTTATAGTTTCTTCGTAGCTTAACATTGGCATATTGTGCAGTTATGAACAGCAAAACAGGTTTCTAAACTCCACAAGGCCATTTGTAAACTCCACCATGGTTGATAAATGTGAACAAAAGCAACTCTTGTTCTGGTAATCCGAATGCAAAATACTTTCAAATAGTCGGCAGTCTGTGCACAGCTACCTTGGTTAACTGAAGCTTATTGCTACTTCCGGTGTTTCTGGCAGGAAGTCCTACCCATTATCATTTCAGTATCACCCACAGAAATAAGGTGAATAAAATGTTTTTTTTACAACAAAAAACAACACTCCCATGAAAGGTTGTAAACGGGATTTAAGCATTTTTGTGAAGTCGTGCTGAAGTTGGAATGTCTGTAACGGTAGGAGGTTCTTAAAGAAACGGAGGCCAATTTCAAGGCATTTATATAGGATTTGATGTAAAGTCAAATTTATTTTTGATATAATCAGCATTTTTATAACTACTGAAGGTAACAGTTACTTGACTGTGGGATAGAATTAAACTATATGCCTGGAAAATACATAATACCCCCTTCAATTACATCACTCATTATGATTCTCTTTATTAGACGAGTCAAGCCTATTTTAATTGTGATACTTCCTTATCTCACTTGCAGTTCTTTGCTTACTCTCTGAAGAACTCAAACACAAAAAAACAATGTTGTTTTTCGTAGTTATAAAAAAACAAACTTGAACTGAGACAACCCCAGCAGTGATCACGACACAAAAATTATACACCAGTCTGACCTCTCTGTGAGTTCAAACAACTTCACTTCCCTTTGCTCAGCGATGACAAAAATAAACTTCTCACCCCTTGACTGTTCAATCTCTGTATATACAGACTTTGCATAAAGTCAGGAAGTGCCAAAAAAAACCTGCAGCACTTACGACTGAGACAACTACAATTGTAAAAGCAACAGCTTCAAAACCTCCACAGCACATACAAGCACACAAATCTCTAAATGTAATCATTACATTTGTCATTTACGTTTAAAAGCATCTCAGTCTCTGAAGCACAAATATCAAATCTCAGTGAGCGTTTCCTTTCTAGACATCTATGTCTGGTTTCATTTGCAACAGAGGCAAAATGAGGAAACCTACTGTTTAAACACAACAAAACAACACTAATTCAGAACTATGACAGGGAAACAGAAGGCCTCTGTGCTCAAGAAGAGATTTTAGAAACAAGAAACAAACAAGAAAAAAAAAACAAGTGAAAGCTCTGATAGTGAGAATGAAGCACAGCGCTTTTTCCAGAGGCAGAATTTAATCCAAATCACTGATCAGTAGCTAACACAGGCTGTGAGGCAGAGCCRGATATTTATGACTGAGCTTAGTTCTGCTGAAAACCGTCAAGAACAGCAGATTTTCTTCAGGACTACTTTTAAATTGAAATGATCTTTTCCAAGACTGAAACAAATGCAAAACTTTCACAGCTGTCTGCAAAAAACAAGGTCAAATAAAATGAAGCATCTAAACAGGACAGACTTTTTGTAGCTTCATGCTTCAGATCTGAGTCTAAACAGGTTAGAGGTTAATAAAATCCTGACTTTCATTAAAGATATGGTCACAATGAACTAAAGCTTTATCTCTGAACTGCAGCTGCTCCCATTAAATCACATCGCTCCAAACTATTTAAAATTCTGCTGCTGTTACTTCTGATACATTTTTTGCAAATAACTTTGACATGTGTGGTCCTAAATGTAATTTCAACAGGAAGACATGGCTTCCTGTGTGAGTCGCTCACATTAATACTGATGGACTCARCACAGATCTTTTAGGACTGTAAAGTAAATTGTTTACAGACACCATATATTGTCCCCTCAACACAACACTCTCACAGTCAACATCAAAAATCGATAACATTTACAGGTTTATGTATAAATGGGGTTCTAATATCAGATTACTGTTGACCTCATTTTATTCGTGAATGAACTACAGGTTTTCCAATGTTGATCAGTCACTGTTTAGATGAGATTACAAGAAAAAACGAAACATTAAATCCACTRTAGTTTCTATGCCAGGTCACTAGCTGGTGCTGTRGTTTTTATRTTTTACGACACAAAAACTTGATCAGTATTTGTAGAATGTGAGAATTGCGTTTCTGAATTCAACAAGTTTTAGTGTCAGAGAAAACGATGCTGCTGTCGCGTACATGAACAGCCGAAACGCAACAGAAATGTCACGTTATCACTTAAATCAGTGATGGGTAAATAGGGGTTGAAGCTGCTGAGTAGTAGTGTTGGTGAGACCGGTCTCAAGACTAAGACCACTTTTTGATGGTCTTGTCTCAGACTCGACCACATTTATACTCGGTCATGTCTCGATCTCAGACATGAGAACTCTGAACTTTATTTCATGACCACAACTACGGAAATATCCCTAAAATGAAAGAATATGTCCAACTTATTTACTAACATCTTTGCTTTCATTGGATTCAAAACATACTTATTCAAACCCAAGTGTGACTTGTTGCTATTTATATATTTTTGTTACCGCTGTCACCCACCCCCTTTCACTCGTACACGGTACTCCAAGAAAGTGAGCAGTGGTATTCTGGAAGCAGGAGAAGACATCTCCAAAATCTTCAGTAAAACAGTTCAGCTACTCAACTCAAAAATAATTTAATTGTAAAACAACATCCAGGAGAAAGCATACAGAGACTTGTAAATTCTGCAGCGTTTCCTCTTCAGAGGCGGTAGGGACTATGTCAAACTTATCGTCACTTAGAAAGAAAACACAAAGAAAGGTATGCTATGCGTCAGTGATGCTAGCAAAGCTAGCTAGCAAATGTTAGCAATCGGCCTCTATCAAAATTCTTTACCCGGCCCTCACGCAAAAATTTATCCACTACCTGTCTGTTCACCTGTTTACAGTACACCGTATATTTTAGGGAACTAGTATACGTTTTTTTTCCAGTCTTGGGTTAGGTGGTCTTGACTACAACACAACTGCTGAGACTTAACTTATAACAGTAAGTCATTCATACTTTTACAAAGTACAAAAAGTAAAAAGGTAAGAAAAAACTGCATTCATCTCATAAATGAAGAAACAAGCAAGAGATAAAACCTTGTTTATGAAGGACAGCAACAAATATTACAAAAAGTCATTACTTTATTATTAACTTTTATAGCAAACCCCACTGACATCAGATATCTCCTTTTTTTTTTTTTAAAAAAGGAGGCCTGGGAATGAAGGCAGCCTAAACATGCTTAATTTTGTTCTGTGGGAGGAAAAATGAGTATCCAGAGAAAAATCACGCAAACATGAGGAGAATATGAAGACTCCACACAGAAAGACCCCTGAGCTTGAACCCAGGACCTACTTACTGTGAGGCAACAGTACCACTAAGCCACCATGCTACCCTAATTAATCCACAAGTCGTAATGTTTGTAGAGCATGGCAACAGAATAATAATAGATGCTAAACAGCAGGTCATTGTGCTAAAAGGTTAGGAACTGACTGTTTATGTAAAAACATGCTGGTATGAGCAATTCCACATCTTACAGATTTTGAACTGACTCAGAGGATTTATAATCCTTTTGAAAAGCATTAGAAATGCAGCAATAAATGCTATAACAACCTGTTAAAGTGATGGCATTCAGTCTTTTAGAAACTTGACTGTTTTGTGTTAATATTTTTGTGGCTTTCTTTCTGATAAAGTACCCAGGAAAGCCACTGTGCATGCATAATATCTGCAGATTTCCTCATTAAAACAAACTCACAGAATGACATTTAAGAATTTACTGTGTCAAGAGTGAAGGCTGGTGCAGCAGTCTCACTGTCTCTCTCTCGTTTACATGCTCGAGCTTTTTGCACAGCTGACACAATCTTCTCAAGGGTTCATCTGCACTATGGTAACAGCATAGTTCTCATTATTTGAAAAAAAAAAAAAAGTGATCCTTTACTTCACCTTCTCAATCAACACCACTAAATGAGTCCTTCCAATGTTTTACTTTCACATAATGTTACTTTGCCATAAAAACACAGGAGCTGAATTTGATTATTGCAAATAAAACCTCCGAGTTTAATGAAATTATGCTTTTTAACCGTGAAGATTATGAGATTCTTTTGAAAAGTGATCAGAACCAAACCAGACCTACCTCTACTGTTACCAAACCTGCAACATTTGACTTTTATAAAGTTAGAAGCGACACAAGCAGACTGTCATAACAAAATGTGCCGGAAAAGCACCAGGAGGGTAATTCAAACCTGACCTCATCACATTCAGCTGCTGTCTAATTAATGAAAAGCATTGTAAGTCTGAAAGGCACCATGCAATAATATAATCGTGACATCATCTTGTATCATTTAACGCGAAACCTTTATGGCAATATTTATGAAGCGATGTCCTTGGCTTTATTTATACATCAATTCAATCGATTTAAACACGGCTTTGCATTTGTTGCATCAGTACCGACTTCAGTTCACCGAGCAGATTTTTTTCCATCAGTAAATGATGCTGAGGATTATTCAAGCACAGAATTACAGAAATGCGTGCTAAACAAAATGTGAGGGTTTTATTTAGTGTTTTGGACCACTGACTACCTCAGTTTTACAAAACCCTGCGGCTCAGAATCAGGCGTTTTCTTGTTTCAGCACTTAAAGCAGACAAGTATTGGAACGGCTGGCTGCTGTAATCTTCTATTCAGATGTGTGTGATTTTTTAAAACCTGACAATTAGAGAAGTACAAAGCTGGTAATTAAAACCAGGTCATTTGTGCTTTTCCTGCCCAGACAGATTTGTGTGTTTGTTCAGTTAGAACTGATTGATTTATATACCACACATAAAAAGCAGAAGGTCACAAAGCCATCAGTAAAAGGGTGAGCCAGGCTTAGCCATACAAACAGATACAATTAAAGCATGAATTACTACGAAAATGTGTGAAAATGTGTTGGGTTTCTTCAAAGAGAGAGCCTCGTGTGTTTTTAAATGTACTTATTTTGGCCCAAGAGTAGCTTTAACCTAAAACAAACTGAGATAGCTCAGTGGTCAGCGATACGGTCATGAAGCCCAGGTTGTGTCAGAAAGGGCATCAGTCATTTTAGCCAAATTTCTTGTGAGAGTTCACTCGCTGTGGTGACCCCCAGTCCCTCACAGAGGGGAGCAGCCAAAGAAAAAYAACCTTTAAACTAAATACTTTGCAAGTAAATGAGAAATACTTGTGGCTAAGATGGTTATATGATTTTCCAATTGAAATGTTTAGTTATCGTGTTTTGATATAGTACTCTTATGCCTGCTTATCATTGAAATTGTTTATTTTGTGTGTTTTCCCTTATCCCTTCAAGTGGCCTTAGCATTTGCCAGGCTATTATGTAAAAAAAAGAAATAAACAGATTGGATATCATGTGCATAAAAAAATGCTGACTTTTATACAAAAACAATTTATTATTTTGAAAAATGCATGAATTATGTACGTGTATAATACAGGCAAACATGTTTTATTTCCTAAAAAGTATCCTTACTATCATTACAGATGAAATACAAATGAAAACAATAAAAATATAAGATGTTATTCCCTTAGTAAATAGAAACAGCAAATTATTAGATGCTACAGACAYTGTAGTCCACAACAGCCTGAGGATATTATTGTTATCTGAGTAACAAAGAGATAAGACCAACATTAGCTCAGAAAGTGCTGATTAAAAGACAACGAGCTCTGCATTTCAGAAATAAAATGCACAAAAACATCCACACAGTCGGTAAAAAACACACAAATAAAAAGTCTATGCATTGTAAGCTTATATATTTCTTTGTTTTTAGGCCTGAAAGCTCCAGCATCTCCATCACTACTAACCTTTACAAACAGAACAGGGATATAAGCGCTTAAATGGTCTATAATATCCATCAGTAAAGACAGAAAGTCACCAGTGTCTCACCAGTCCGTTCACCCATCACAGATCTCCAGCAAAGCAAAACAAAACCTCTAACTAACCGTATGTGCCAACACCCACGTAATCCAGCTTTCTCATTGGTCTGCCGCCGATGACGTCCCGCCTTCCTGGGCCTCTGACAGGCCGAGGAGACTGTCAATCTCGGGAGCTGCTCCATCATAAACAGCTTGTTTCAATCTAGGTTGAAGCAGTAGATAAACAACTCCGAGGCCTACATGTCCGTGCCCTAGATATCTGAGTTTAGGAGATATTCAAAGTATGACYTACCATCGACAGTAAATATTTAGTACTCTACAGTTTTGTGTTTATTTCTGTCACATTTATTCATGTTCACCACGAAGGAGAAACGCCTAATTCAAAGTTTCTACTGCCAATATTAGGGTTAATGAATCGCAAAGGAGCCAATTAGATAAAAAACAAACAATCACGCTTAACAATGCTATACTGAAGTGACTTCATTGGTAAGGTATTTGGCTTAAAATACACGAAAAATACAAAGTATGTGAAACCTTTGTCCACCAACACAGCCTGTGTTTAGCGTTGGGGGGGCGTGTACCTCCTGACTGCCTCAAGACTGCATTAAGTCAACCTGAATCTTACTTTAAAAAACACACAAATTTTATATGTTAATACCAGGAGATATAGTCGAAAACAAATTCATTTTGAATTCTAATGTATTTTACAAATAGTTAAAGTACTGGTTAATCTCCTTACATAACAGCAGTTTTAAACATAGTGACCCAGAATCACACACACAGCCTTTCTGGAGCTATAAAGACACAACACGAGTTATTTAAAGACAATAAAAATACATTTACTTCAGCTCATCTAGAAACAAGAAGCTGCCAATATCCGTGCACTTCCTGTGAGACATTTATAAAAGCTACGGAAAGAAGGCGAAAAGAGTCCCGAGAAACATATTTACTTGCCGCAAATAACTGCGGGTTTTGCTGCGGAAATTGTGTCTTGCTTTCTTTTTTTTACCCGCAGCTCAGTCAGTATGGCCTCCGTCCGCCACCCCCCCTCCTTTCCTCATCTCAGCTAAACACACAACAACCAGTTAGCTTCGAAGCTAACCCACCGCGGCGGAGAAAACTAGCACCCGTCGCTGGGTAAAGTTCACCGAAACGCGTTGATACCGCCTCTACTTACATTTAGGACTCCCATATGCACGTCCCGTCCGGTACCGGAGCTCGTGTAGAATCCGGTGCTGGAGTAAAAGCCGTTCCCTTTTCAATGGTGTCCGCACGCTGTTGAAGCTCTCTCTCGGGTTTGTTTTGTTTTTCTCCTTCCTGACGGCTTTCTGGAAAGCGCGTGACCACCCGATCACGTGGTGCGCCGCCGACCAATGGGAAGAGAGCATGAAGCAGCAGGAAAACACTTTTATTACCATTTTCACCCTTTTATAAATAATTTATAGTGGGCTGGAAAGTAAAAGTAGAAAAAATGTTTTAGAATTTCTGAGAAAAAAATTAAGATCTCCATAAAACAAGATAACTTAATAATATAGAGATGAAGGACTGTTTTTTCTTTCTAAAGTGTGAACTTTATGTCATTCTTTCATTTTATTATTTTTATTTTTGTGTTTTTAAAGGTAAATGAATGATGAATCTGTTTTKATTGGCTACGTTTCTTATCAAAAGTTTGATTTTTAAAAATCAAACTATGCTTCCTTTGTTTACATTTGATTTTCTGCACCACTAGCCAATTTTATTACAGGTTTTCATTTAATTAATTAATTAATTAATTTTGTCCCAGCAATGGAATGTTCCAGATAACTCTACCTCATCCTAGATCAGACCCCCAAACATTCCCAACCCCCACCCTGTTTCTGGGAAAGAGAAACTATTGTGAAACTTAATATTGCCTTAAAATAAATGTAAATGAATATATAAAGAAACAAAATGGACATTTAACTAAGCTATATGGGTCTTGAAATATTTTTAAGTAGATAAAAATACTAAAATTTCAATTTTATATTCCATTTATTCCTATCTATCTATCTATCTATCTATCTATCTATCTATCTATCTATCTATCTATC